AATGGATGTAAGCACTTGAATATAACACACACACACACACACACACACACACACACACAATCAAGGACAAGGCTAACAACTACCTTCCTGACCACCCCCCAAAGGTCTACCTGCCCTTCCCTCAGGTCCCAGACCCCATTGGCTGCCCCCCAGCTCCAGACACCCCCCCCACCATGAACACAGGTGCACAGTCACTACAGGCTGCACTGGATGGACTTTTATTTTAAAATCAAAGGCACAGCCTGGAGGGGTCAAGGCAGTGACTGTGGGTGCCCAGACCAGAAGCCCAAGGCCCCACTTTCAGCCAGGAGCAGCTGTGCCCCAGGGGAATGGGTGGGTGAGAAAGGGGCTCCCCCTGTAGGGAATCACCTACCTCCTTCCTTAGCCCCAGTATGGGAGAAGCAGGTAACATCGAGGGGTTCCCCAGGGTCTCTCTCTCTCATTCCCCCCAACACAGTCTGGAGAGGGCCCCAAACCTTTCCTTCCCTGGTCTCTAACTCTTATCTGATAGGACGTTTTTTTAAAAAATCTCTGCTTATAAAAATACTTCTGCTCTGTCTGGGAGACGGGGACGCAGTTCCTGGGGATCAGGGCAGAACCGGGGAGGAAGCCTGGTGCATCATCACCCGGCTGGCAGGTCACAGCTCCTAGGGAGAAGGGGATCACAGTGGCGGGAGCTAGGAGGGGGGCAGGGGGCCGTTGGCTCGGCGGGGTGTCCCCTTGGCAGAGGCGGGGACGCGGCCAGTGGAGGCAGGCACCGGGGAGCCGCGGCGGGAGGCGGGGGCGCTCCGCAGCTTCTGTTTGCGCCTCTTGGCGAGAGGTGCATTCTCCACGCTCTTCAGAAAAAAGCCTTCGCGCTTGCCCCTGTTGAAGGCCTAGGGGAAGGAAGAATGAGTGTCCCCACCCGCCTGATTCCAGCTTCCTGACCCGCGCCTTGGCCCCCACCCCACCGCATCCGGAACCACAGGCCCCGGGGCATCCAAACTCCCAAGGTCTGGACCCCAGCCCACCAGGGATGGGACTCAGATTCCAGGATCTCCGAGAGACCCCCACCGAGAAGCCACGCCCACCCACCTGAGGGCCCGCCCTCCCAACCCAAGGCCACGCCCATTCGTCCGAGGCCCCGCCCCTTACCATGAAGGTGGCGTTGAGCCCGGAGCGCACCGCCGGCCCGGAGGACTCCAGCACGTCCGGCGTACGGAGCGGGGGCGAGGAGCGCGCGCTGCCGTCCTGCAGCCAAGAGCTGCCCCGCAGCCCTTCCAGCTTCAGCCGCTTGGCTGGATCCACTGTCAGGAGCCCTGGGGGCGAGGCAGGGACGTTCTCGGAGAGAGGCCTATAAAGAGGCCAGCCCCCAGAGGCCTCCCTGACGGCCCCACTCTGTTCCCCTACTTGTCCCTCAACCAGGACATCATCCCACCCAGACACCTCGCAGAAGGAACCACGGGAGCCATCCTTCCCAACCAGGCTCCACACCTCGGACCAGCTCCTTAGCTTCCTCTGACACGCCTTGCCAGGCTTCCCCATCCAGGGAGAAGCGCCCTTCTCGGATCTTGCACATGATCTCGGCTGCCTGGCTCTGCCCGCCCTGGCCTGAGGCCCCTTGGAAGGGAACCTGTCCGGACAGCATCATGTACTAGAAGGAGATGGAAGGAGTGAGACCGCTCCAGGCTACAAGGCAGAGGCTGCACCCTCGAACCACCCAACAGCACCACCACCCTCTCCACTACAGGGACCCAAGAGTGGACTCTTGAGGCCAGCATCAGATCCTTGGGCTGGAGAGATGGCTCAGCGGTTAAGCGCACTGGTTGCTCCTGAAGAGGACCTGGGTTCCGTTCCCAGGACCCACGTGGTGGCTACCAACCATCCATAACTGCAGTTCCAGTAGTCCAGCACCCCTTTCTGGCCTCCACAGGCATTGCATACACGTGGTACATTTACACACATGTAGGCAAAACATACACATAAAATAAAAATAAATAGCTGAGTGTGGTGGTGTACACCTATAATCCCAGAACTAAGAAGGCAGAGGTAGGCACATCTCTGTGAGATCAAGGCCAGCCTGGTCTACGTAGCGAGTTCCAGGCCAGCTAGGGCTACAGGGAGACCCTATCTCAGATAA